GAAAGTTTCTAGACTGCGCCTATAAAAACCCGTACACTTATCTCAGGTATTAAATTCATCCATCACCCTCGAAGTAGTTCCCCTGGGAGTGAACACAACGATCCCAGCGCCGCTGCCAAGCCTGGAAGCATCCCTGGAAATCTTTCTTTGTCAGCCTGTCAAGCACCATCTGCGATTCTGCCTGAATCACGGCGGTGTGTCTTCAGGTTATGGTAACTTTCTGGCTACCTTCAGGGAAGTTGGTCACTTTCCTTTTAATTCGTTAAACAATGGCAACTGTTGAAAACTAAATAGATAACAATTATACCAAAATTACCAAACAGAAAATCGTTACTAATAAAAATATGTAGTGAATATAAAGAATTGTGAACATGTACAGTTCACATGTGATATAAGTTCAGTACGTCATAATTTTTTCCACAGACAGTATTAATGGATTTCGTATAATTATCAGAATAGAGAGTGATTAATTCCCTGAACTTTATTAACCAAACGAACTTTGTAATAGAGACGCGCTGTAATATTTTAGAAGGCAACTGAACTTTCAAATATTATTTCTGCTTTAAAGAGTTAAATTTATTCCTTGGCTTGTAGTTCTTCCTTTTCTTTCGAAATCCACGTGCTTCGTTATATAGAGTGTTGAGAAGACATTCTAATATCAACGCTTTGTTATAAGCCATAAAGCCACGTCTTTAGGATTCCAAATGGTGTCTTGTCTGTAGTGAGCATCTCTTTTCAGTGTCGATTGGCATATTTTACAATTCAGAACGTGCATCGAAACGACAGTTTGAGCCGTGAAGTGTTTCAATATCCACTGTAGTATGGATATTGAAACACCCTCTCGAAGTCGTCAGTTCAAACAGATTTGTTCTACTTCAAGTCACAGGATTTCGTGTGGAGAAAAATGGTGCAGTAAAGTGTCGTATAATCCGTTCCCATGGTAATGCGGTTATGAACAAGTGAGCACATGGTGCGGGGACTGCCTCAGCACCTGATTGCTATTCTGCTAGCCAAAAAGTCTGCTTTCAGGGGAGCTCACAAAAGCGTATCGTCATGAGTCGGTTAAATCTAGTCGAAAACTTCATACCTGGTTTAAACTGCCGTATCGAGCAAGATGGTGTAGCTGTATGGGTATAGACCGTAATTCGGGAAGTTCGTGGTTCGAAACTCTATCACGTTACGAGAAACCCAAAATAAGGTTTTTGACATTTTTCAAAAGTCTTTCGTTACGATTGCTAGGACGATAAGGTTTTTGACATTTTTCAAAAGTCGTTTCTTACGATTGCTAGGGCAGAATCTTCAAATACGATATTTCCGGCTACTTCCGAATTCTTACCTACTCACTGCCTCGTCGTTCTCTCATCTCATTCAGCTGTAAGTAACCAGTGGATTTATACTTAGTCGATGTAAAAAAAAAATTATGAAGGAATAAAAGTAGGGCAAGCATCAATAAAGGAATAAATGGCGAGAGATGAAGAGCAAAAATGTATGATTTGAGGTTATCACAGCGGTGAGTATGTACCTGCCAAACCTAATTCTAGTCAAATATAATTTTCATTCTGGCGTCTCATCAGCATCAGACGTAATGGTTATACTGCACGTCATAGTGGTATGTAAATGCTGAATTCAAATATATTTAAATTTTGCAGTTTGTATTTGGAATATTGTTGTCTACTGATTATTCACTTCTTCAGTTATAAAGCTGTTTTCCATAACTTGACTGAAGGGCAGTTTCTCCCAGTACTGCGTTGTTTTCATATGTTAATCGCCATTCTTGGAACTATTAATCATTTTCATTGCATTGACTTTATTTCTATACATTTCATGAGTTTCTACTGCATAGTAAGATAAAAGATAACCAGGCATCACTGAGATGTCGGTCCAGTCATAGACACTAGCTTTGGCTGGCTTGTTGAATGACTCATCAGTCAGACTCACCCGTCAATAAGTGGCACTTCGGTGAGAATCTGTCGCGCCACCTCCAGTCGTTCTTTGCCGGAAGTGACGCTCTCGACCCGGAAGCCTGCCGTCATGCGACCTGTCTCACGTGTCAAAAGCGTCAAGACTAGAAGCGCCACCTGCAGATGACTCTCCGCATACCGACCTGCCATCTGGTGACAGGGAAAATAATAAATTGTTATTTAATTCCTGTTTCAGATATAGGTTACGAAATTATCATTCTCTTGAGAGTTGTCATCAGCAGAAGGGAAACACATTTCTTATGAACTGGCAGGTTGTGGAAGCCTGCCTAAAGTTTAAATTAATATTGAAACAAATTAATGACATATACGCGCACCATACAGTAAACAGAATGAAAATTGTATTTTTCGAATTCCTTCTCATTGCATTCTTCAGTGGCCATTGATGTTTATTTATTGGCGATAAGATCTTCGTTCCATAGCTAATCTCACTGCACAGTCAGAGAAAGTTTCCTTGTATTTAGTTAAATATTCAACATATCGAAAGGTATTTCGAACAAAAGTTATAGATATTAGTGCCATCTGTATTTTACGTCATCTATAAAATTTATTGAATGTGCTGTTTGCGAGAAAATTTGTGCCACTCGATTTTAGCTAATTCCAAGTAGGGATTATAGTAGACTAATTAGAAACATGTTAAAATTTCTCAGCAACCTTAACTGTAGGACCCGAACACCAAATTAAGAAGAAATTAATTCTTTTTGAAGCGCTTTATGGCTACATTTTGTTATAAATATCAGTTGATGAAATTTCGTATTGCGCCGTCTATATTTTTATCAAAGATACAAGGAATTTTAGTAGATAGTGCATTTCATTACAGAAGAAGGCAATGGCAAACCACTTCTGGATCATCTGCCAAGAACGTATATGAACAGGTCCCAGTCCGAGAAAAGGATGGAAGGATCCTGTTCATAGGGACCTGTCGTCAGACAGAACACTAAATAATAATAAAACCATTGTTACACATTTTCGTTTCACTTTTTGTCGTATGACACTGACCCTAAAATATAGACGTATTTACGTCAAAAAATTAAGCCTGCTTTAAGATAAATAATAGGGTGTAGGCCCAATCACTGTTACTCTGTGATCTAGGCAACACGGAGTTTTCTTCCGTGGCATCCCAACAATTACTCCTTTCACACGCAGAAGAAGGCAATGGCAAACCACTTCTGGATCATCTGCCAAGAACGTATATGAACAGGTCCCAGTCCGAGAAAAGGATGGAAGGATCCTGTTCATATGGACCTGTCGTCAGACAGAACACTAATAATAATAATAACAGTACATAATTTATTCTAATAATCGTAAATTTAACATTCATTACTTTCGGTAATGCGCCTCTGAAGTTGAAGGAGTACATTCGCATATGTCGGACACTATCAAATAGACGACGTCTACACGGTCTGGCAAGTTGTACTGTGACAGATGTTAAGAAAATATCTACATAAGTTTGAATATTTGTATCGTCGCCATCTTGGCGAGTTCCGTCTTACAAATTGCATTGGAATGTTTATGATCTATCGCCAAACCAAATTTCACACCCCCAGCTGTATCATTTATCGGAAATCGATTGGAAAGTGAATATAGGTTGCGTGTGGTTGCCATGCTGTCATTCTACTTCCGGGAATAAGATATTTTCATGAAGGTTACATATTTCGCATCACCATACTACATTTTAGAACTCTGCACAAAATAACATTAGTGGTGAAGATGGCTGTCTTCTGGGTTGTTGCGCCATGTAGTCTGGTAGAAGTTTACCGACGTTTCAGAGGTCCTTGCTGCCTTCACCATTATCGCCCTGATGATGGAGTGCTAGTAGTAACTAAAGGGGATACTTTTTGGCACTTCTTGGGATTCAAATATTCTTTCGTTTAGTCTGTTCTGTGTTCATGTATTACACTTTCTTTATGTTCATAACTCAGGTTTTCATATGAGCCAAGTTTGGATAAAATTGGTCCCAGATGACTGTAGTAGAAACACACAAACTGACCATAAAACTCGTGGTCCCTATGGAAATCAGGTGGATAGAGTGTGCCTGTCTCTAACCGCCGGAGAGTGGCAAGTACTTTTATGTCACCAGTAATAAGGCAGCGAATACTCTGCAGGATATCTGCTGCCATAAACATGCAACCAGGAACGTCGTTGTAATTCTGTTGACTTTATAGCGTCCATATGCCTGACACGCCGAAGTACGGAACCTGAGGAAACAGTTTGAATTTTACTCAGACAGGTATGTTACATACTGCATCGTACGTTTATTACAAGGCTTGCACGAAATTAGTAAGGAACAGTCAAACTAGGGAAACGGTAATGCACCAGAGCGTCATTTAATTTACAAACAGATATACCGGTTTTTCATTTATAGACGGGCGGAGTACGTAGCACGCATGGCAGAAATGAGAAATAAAAAAAAGAATGTTAACACACAAGGATAAGAACCAGTGACGGGGTTTGTGAATGCGGCAAGAACCTTTTGGTTTCGCAAAAGGCGGGGAATTTATTGACTAGCTGAGCAGTTGTCTTTAAATTATTCTATTTTTATTACATTGGTTCAAAATGAAACTTGTGGAGAGGGAGGGGATGTATTTTGTAAAGGGTTGTACAGAGATTTATAGGGATTGTTACCAAATGCTAAGAGTTAGTATGCTAATGTTCTAGAATGAAAACAGTGATATAATGGGCGATATGTCAGATTATGAAAATGATATCTTCTGGGATTCTGGGCCGCGTATTCTGGCAGAAGTTTGCGGAGCTCATGTAACTAAACTTTTGCCAGATTACAAGACGAAACATCCCAGAAGACAGTAATCTTCAATGACATAGTCATTCCATCCATTAAAGTAACCTCAAAATGGTTGCAAGTAGTGGTAACGTGTACCTGCTGGTTTATCTGTCCGCACGTTATACTTCTGAATCTGCAGAATACGTTTCGAAGAAATTTGTTATTAGTGGTCTACACTAAGAGTTTTGAAGTTAATTTAAGTTTGTCTCGTATCAGACCGAACTTTATCAGTTCTTTGAATAAACGTTTCAAAAGTACAGCAATTTAAGTGACATAGTATCTAATTAAAATTTAAAACTATTACCGTGTAGGAAACGTTTGTGGCATTTGGCATGTAGACATTTTGCGTAGAAAAAATATGCAGACATAAAAGAAATTAATTAAATGTTTAAAATGTCTCCTGTGAAAATGAAATGTACTATACGCGTTTAGTACAATACATTACAGAATGACGAGACACAGAATACGAAATCATATATCGGAATACAAACCACTGGAACGAGGCAGCAGACACACGAATGAAGGAAATAAGGATGGTTAAATCAAGTGCATGTATTCGTTTTGAATCAGGTATTTAATCCTAATATTGCGGACTTGATTATGATAATGACGTATTTACAGACTGGTTAATCTGACACTTAGCAACAAAAAAGTGGCCCCATTTAGTTCAGATTAAATGTTAACTATCATAGTCAGTATCTGAAGCGTAGCTTCTCGTTTGCATCAAGTGCTTTATTATGCGAGGCTGATTACATATGTTCTGATTAATATCAGAGACAGTAATTATTAATCGTGTTCCCATTAAGTAATTAACTAAGTAACTTACTAAGCAAGTAACTTATTTAGTAACTAAGCGGATAACTGAGTTACTAAATAACGGACTATCTAGTAGCTGGCTCTGCTGTGCAGGATGTGTCTTCAGCAACTTTTGAAATCGGAACAGGCTACAAACTACCAATATTTCATATTTTACGATTTCCTTGTATGAACGTTCTGCCAAAGAAACTTATATCAAAATGTGATCATAAGCTGTGATAATTTCTGAAACTTCGGGTTTTACAAATCTCATCACATCTTAAATCCTTCCAAATTTTTTGGCTCATACGACACGTTTAGGCTACTGCTTAATTTTGGCCCCTCCAAACTTTGTTTTTAGTTTAAAGCAAGTTTACGTGTAAAAATGTCACCTTCCAAATCCTTCCTCTAAATTCCCTCTGGAACCAAGCCACTGGAACTTCACCTTCTCGCAAAGGCAGTCAACAAACTGTAAGAGTATCTCAACTTATTATTCGAGTCACCTACGCAATGCAGAACGGCGAACTAATCCCTGTCTCTAGATAACTTTCAGTAGGGGCATCACAACCAAACATTGCTGTATAGCAGATAAAACTTCTGATAGGTATTCAAGAGGTTCTGGATTACAATCTCTTATTACAAACGGGAATGTTATTAATAGTAATACTTACACTAAAAGAACACATTAATAATAAACAGTTTTAGAGTATTTAAAATTTTCTGACACAGGAAATGTGTTCCGGGTTACGACCTTCCTTTCTGTAACCTCCTGTTCGAAACAAAGAACTTTGGCCTTCCTGTATTCTCCTACAGTGTTTATACTCCGATTTACTGGAACTTCCCTTACCAGGATTCAAACTAAGGACAGTCTACTTGAGTTTTGTCCTTTCTGTAATTTATTCCTGGCCTCAGGAAATAAGCATGCCAAGTTCGGTGCAAATCAGTTTATCAGTTTTCGCGCTATAAGCAAGCATACATAAACACAATCCCACAAATTCAATTTTATAAATAAGGTTTATACAATATTTTGTGTTGAAAAATTTCTCTGTGGACACAAGAGATTTATTGCTACTTTGATGGAAGACGTGGAGAGTATAATAGAGGAGGATAAAGGGCCCGAATGAGCCATAAAGAAATGGAGGCGTTACAAGGAAATATGTGTATCCAAGTGGAGGTTTACAGAGAATCCAGGCTGGAATTTTGAGATATGTTGGCTTAGTGTTCACTTTTGGGAGGGCTAACTCTGTCCCCATGACCCTGATAAACCAAGCAGTGGTCCCCAAGCGCCCCAAAGGAATGTTACCCATGACCACTATTATAATTCTGCACATAACACTTTGCCTTTGTGTGGCGTAGTAGGAAAGGAGCGAACATATATTTTACTGGCTTGGTTCTGCTTTAACTTTAGTTGGATAAAACTGGGCAGTTACACTAATTTAGGTATGTGACTTCATGAAGTCGTCGCAGTGCTTAATTAAGTACCGGAACAAGAAGAAGAATTAAAATTAAGCTTTCGCGGCGACTGAATTTGATGAAAGGTTTCCGAGTTACAAGC